TTAGTGGTTTTAGTACAGTTTTATTATTTGCTGAAGGCTCTGAAATCCAGGGTACCGTTTGGGGTAAAACGACTACTTCTGTTCTCCCTGCATGATATCGAGCACTCTTTAGCATTTCGTGACATATATCTATATTGAGTATTGTGTGATTTGCTTCGCAACTTTTCCAACATAAAAATTGAAGAACGAGTAATTTTCACTTAATTATATCAATAAAACTTTAGTTTATAGCACATATATCTATATTGAGTATTGTGTGACTTGCTTTCACGTTTTTAATTTTTGTGTGTTTCGTTGCCCGTGCTGCGTATCATATTTCATTCTGCGAAATTCAATACTAAGAATAAACACTATCAACACACTGTAATGTAGGTATCAATGCTAGCGACAAAGCTGCTATAAAATTATCAAGTTAAGAACAGCCACACAAGGTATGTATTTTTACCTTTAAGCCAGCTACAAACCGGTTAAGATTTCTATGAGAAGTTTCCATACGACAAGTTATATTTGCTCGTCTGTATATAAAGCATTTTTTCTGTGACAAGTACACGCGCTCAAGCCTGCCAGCTTTTTGTTACTGGAAATTTACATTGTTACAAACGCGGATGGTTCGTGTTTTTTGACCAGCTATATGTGGTGGCTATGCCTCATATTACCAATAAACAATCGTCAAGTTTCGGCGTATCTGTTTTGAAAGATTGCCGCAGACGGGTCACGAAGGTTTTTGGCTTCACTGCATAGCACGTTGCTTTGATATATGATAGACCCGTCACCTTTGTCTCACATACAATCTTGAACTGTTTGTCAATGTGGACTAGCCAATAAATAACAAGCTTTCGTTGGTAGGGATGCAATTGTCTGAAAATATATATAAATAGAAATGAGTCCCAGTCTTCTCGTGTGAAAAAGCGTTGAATTAGAAATAGTCATAGAAATAGTAGGCCGAATTAAGATCTAGGCTGCTTGCCATCCGGTGGCTTGCTGTTTTGGCATATTTGTGTTGTTATGCAGAGAGCTTATTGTAAAGTCAAATATATGATTAATCTCTAAAAAAATCTTTATATAAAAATCTTTATATAAAAATCTTTATATAGTTTGCATAAAAATGGTCTTTTGTTAAAGTGTTCTTTAGTTGGTATAAAGACGTATGCACGTGATTAATTTCTTACTCAAGATTGGATAATTGGTTCATGAATTATTAATGAGTTTTTGAACCAAATATCAAATATTTATTGACCTCATCTTGGATTGCTAATCAGTTAAAAATCTGCTAGATTTTAGCAGATCGCGTGACCAACGTCTACCAGGATCTTTTCTCCCCTCGCCTAGAGGAAAGAACCTGGGTACAATGTTGAAAATGAGTAATGCTCTCCCAAACTTCTGGTCCTTCCCTTCAGATGGAAACTGCAGAAAGCCTTCTATATACACGACAAGGGTTGTTGTGGCTGTGTTAAAGAAGAACAATGTTGTTATTGCTACGATATTTTCCCTGGAGGCCATTGTCCAGATTGATGTTGCCTGTCTTGCACGTGTCCGCCCCGGGACGACCCAGGCCACAACCAAACGAATGGCAACCGAAGCAGAGCGTTGACGTTGGCGGACTTGAAAGATGTAAAACCAGAGTATATAAGTAGTGCGGTGGTGAATGGGTGGCGCAGGGAATACGAGCGAAAATACTGCCTGCTCACAATGAGCCCTCGAGGTTCGTATAGAGTTTAATGTCTTTAAACAGTGCCTGAAAACAAACGCAAATTATAACAAGGCAGTTATCAAATAGGCTCGGTCCCAGGCGTAACCTCTGGGACCGAGTCTAGTTATCAAGCTGATATCAGATGTGTTAACACTGCTTGTTCTGGAGCACAAGTATAAGGTTGACGACAGTGACAGACTTGCTACAAGTTGTTGTAACAAGACTAATACAGGCAGTTTGCAACAAGTTGCTACGAGCTTGTTGTCAATTAGCCCAGCGAGCAGGTTAGTACTAGTTGTCATCAACTTGTTAACAACTTATTACGTACAGACGTGATGCTTTTGATGTTATTCTGAGTGTACATCCACATCGGGCAAGCTTGAAAAATATGCCTGGCCACGGTGGGAATCGAACCTACGACCTTTGGAACACTAAACAGCTTGCTGCAAGTCTATATTTGCCTCATTAACCATGTTACAAGATGATAACAACTTGTTTTAGACTTGTCAACAATTTGAAACAAGAAGCACAGTGCTTTATCAGATATAAAACACTCGCGCTGTGCTTTCGTGTTTTATATCTGATAAATCATTCCTGTTCGTGTTTTAAATATAGTGCTTAATGTTGTATACTCGGGTCTGATAGTACAAATGATTCCTCCAGGTATGTCTGTGATAGTGAAGCAACCAACAACAGCAGTTCAGATAGAAGACGACCACGATTTCGGAAACAAACTGAAACCGAGCGATATTAAACTATCGTCAGCTATGGCAATGTCTGCCGCGGCTGTATCGCCGTATCTTGGAAAAAATGAAGAAAGCGAAAGACAGTTAACACATATTTTGACCGTTTGTGGCATAGAAATGGCTGCAAATATTGTGTACGATATGGACAATGAAAGAAATGAGCATTGTTGTGGACCGGTAAGATCAGGGACGTCGGAACTGGAGGGGCAGGAGGGGCAGCTGCCCCTCCTACCTTTTGCTAGGGGGAGCAAGGGGGGCAGAAGTGCCCTTTTAGTTGTAAAATACTACCTGATAAATCACATTTCCAGTGATGCTTTTTCGGGCAAAATCATGAGATTCAGGTAATTAATAGGCCCAGATTTAATTTACAAAAATAAGTGTGAATTTGGAAAAGAATGAGGTTAATTTACAAAAATTTTTAAAAATTTTTGGATTTTAGAAAAAAATTTTGGATAAATGGGTAAAATTTGCCGATGTCCGGAAAAATTTTTTTACGTCACGAAAAATTTTGGTATGTCCTGAAAAAATTTTTGACCCCTAAAATGGTACACTGATCGAATTTTTTTGGCGACGGGAGTGGGGGGGGAGATGGGGGAAAGGTCGCCCAAAAAAAATTCAATTTCAGGTAAATTTCGAACTTTTGGTCTATAGAGGTGCCCTTTGGTGTACGTCTGCCCCCCTTTGCCTTTTTATCGTTCCGGCGTCCCTGGGTAAGATTTTGAAAATGCCAATGAAAATTACCCGTGATGTGATCTATTTTCCAAGCGCAAAATGCAAATATATGAAATAATATACCGACATGACATATTATACACTATTTTGTTAAGTATGAATAATTTGAGAAGTATATTTGCTGATGGCATCAATTTTATATTACGTTTTTGTTGTAGTTTTGTTTATATGCTGTAAATTTCATCATATTAGTTCTAATCGCTGTTGGTGGAGTTTTTGGAGTTTTGGAAATTACGAAATCGTCTTTCCTAGTCTCGTCACTGCCAGTGGTCATAACTTCATGTATCGTGGGAGGAATTTTTGCCTTCTTACTACTGGCGTTCGTGTTATTGTTATTGACTGAGAAAAGCGGCTTCAAGCACTTCAGAAGAAGGAACTGCTGATCCGAATGCTCTCGAAAAGTATGTTTATACTGACAATTTTTACAGTAATTTGTCAGTACAGCAATAACTATATAATTACCCTCGGCTTGTCCGTTTGCCTTTTTGGGGCGAAGGGGGGTGAAAAGAGACACTCCTGATGAATGTAGTTTTACGCCTGTATCTTGAAAGCTCACTCACACTCACACTCAACGAGTGGAGGTTCAATCTGAGCTTCTCTCAAGTGTCAATGCTGTTTTTGAATAGCTGGAGGGTGAGTAGTCACATAGTAAGGTACGACACTAGCCCTCCAGCTATTCAAAAACTGCACTGACACACAAGAGAAGCTCAGATTGAACCTCCACTCAGATTGAACCTCTACTCAAAAGGTTGCATGGGGGGAGCTTGGGTGGGGTGGAAAATTGACATTATAGGCAGTACTGCTGTCGCGTATCTAATACTATATACAGACTATATGTCTCCCATGAAAGTAAATTGTCAAATATTCTGAAATTAATGTTTGACACTGTTGGAAGGTAATTTATGAAGATCTTGCGGTGCAAGAAGTAAGTCGCCCTTCTCAAATCCTGGCGTCGCGAATGATCGTATACCAAATTATTTCTAAATGCTTCGTCTTAATGCTCTCGTTTTAAAAAAATATGTTTTTTAGTTTTTGCGGATGGTGCAATGTCCACGTTCCGATTTATCGTTTTGTTTGTTCAATGCTGAATATAATCACGTATGGCAAAGAACCTCCAGCAATGTTACATGTCAGTGACGGCGGACATTTTGAAAACTATGGCCTGTTACCACTGTTGAAGTTGCGACTACCGAAAATCCTTCTCGTTCATGGTTTGGAAATTAAATCGGATGACGACTACGCCAGGGATATCATAGTGGCAATGGAGCATGCGCGAAAGTTATTCAATTGCTCCTTTACTTCAATGGCTGGAAATGACGTGTTGAATGACATAGAGGAAAAGTACGGAAGAGATGTGTTAGATCATATAAGAAAACATAATTGTGGAGACGTTGTGTTGAATTATATAAACAACCAGTTGGGCGGCGATGTGTTGACAGATATAAAGAATGAGTTTGTCGAAAAACGTTCAAGGAAATACGAATTCAAAGTTCATTACTCAAAAAATAATTCAGAGGGTAGGTATATATTTCAACACATTAAACCCAAAGTGTTCAGCATACAGTAGTGCTCAGGCATTCAAATTATAACAATAGGATAATTTCTATAGAGGGGGGGGGGGACACACTGTACATCGTACATTCAAGTATGACCGTATGATGATTATACATGTGCGTGTACATGTAGTTGTTATTTTTATGTAGGTGACAATGGAGTTAGCGTAGGGCATATTGTCCTTATTGCTCCACGCTTACCTGACGGGGTTGGTGCGGGGTCCGAGGAAAATCCTACATGCTCAGACGCATTAGAGAAATTTCAGCATCAAGGCGAAGGCGGGCCTGGACGGGGTAATGCGAGCACGTCGGAGAGAAATCGCCAAAATTATCCCAAATGGCAACATAAAGATTGTGAAGGAAGAGATTTGGATAAAAAGTGGGGTCTGGGGCCGTATCTGACGAAAGGTGATGTGAAGAATATTGAAGGATGCCCCGGAGGTATTGGTTGTTGTGAGTGCTGTCATAAAAATTGGTGTGGCAGCTGTTTCAAATTTCCTCGTCACCCAACAGCAAACCAGTTTTATACTCCTTCAATGTTTACTGCTTATCACAGAGAAGGATACAGAGTGTGCATGGAATGCAACGAGTTTTTAGAAAAATAAACTATTGAATAACTAAATTTTTGTGTTTACCAGGTAGTGGGCAGCCATCTCATATTAAAACTCCAGTAGAGAACCAATCGATGACCATCGAATTATTCTATTGCAAGTCTTGCAATAATCTGTAACAATTGTGCAATAATTTAGTTTCTGAAGATGTTTGTAGTTAGGAAACGTTAGATATATGTAAATATGAGGAATTTTTATAAAATGAAATTGTGTATAATTTTATGCTGAGCTTTAACCCATTGAGTGGCAGCACCCTCCCCTTCACATAATTGGGTTTAAAATAAACATATATGATGATTAATGTGAGATGGGGAATACTTACTTGCGGCTTAAAGAGCTACGTTTTCACGAAAAAGAAACACGTTTTCACGAAACGTGTTTCAAAAATGTTTTCACGAAACACGCTTCATGTTTTCAGCAACACGTTTTTACGAAACGTGTTTCTGCTGGGGTCTACATGCACCGTAAGCTAATCCTTCCTTACCAAGAATGGTATGTTAATTGGCTATGGTTATAATGTTATCACGGACAGACCGGACATATAAAACAACACCACCCCAATTGGCCAAATCTGTTACGATCATTTCAAATTATATCATATCCTAGTATATGTATTTCATTATCAGATATAGTATTGTCTATTTTGGTTCATTTATCGCTGGAATATCAAAAGTATACTTCTCAAGAAGCAAACAAACTAAAGCAGACTATTATATATAGTATTAATGTTTAAACTGGTTATTTTTAATCCTTTGGATTTAGCAATGGCATAATTTAAGGGATGGTCATAGATACCTGTCGCTGAATTACTAAAACTAGAATAATTCAATGTGTTGGCTGGCGATTCAGACAAGAAATTAGTTTCAGCAGATCCTTCACATTGCTCATGGTGCCCGTTTGGAAATCTTGTCTAGGGTATTTTCGTGACAGACTTGAACATCTGCCAACCAACTTACTTTAATTTAATCAGTGAAAATTAATATTTGCATGTCCTTGAATTTTTAACACTAACAGTATATTATCTTTTGTCTCAGATATTGTGTGGTTTTCTTTATTTATTTTTTCCAAGTATAACATATTCATTTCGCAAAACCGCGATAAACCGCGTAAACATTGGGCACGCACCAACGCCAGCTGGTGTAAAAATCTCAATTAGTCACGAACAGTCATAAAGGGGAAAGTATTTTTATTTTTATACTTTGAATTTCTCGCACTTGTTGGCGATCGTTAGGGCAAAAATTGACAAATGAAAGTTCGGCAAAATTTTCTGTTTGCTTTAAATTCCGAACAGAAACTTGTTTCAACATCTGCCAATTATCTTTTTTGTCCGTTTGGTGTCCTGCTGGGCGGGCTGGCAGTATATAATTGCGTTTTCTACGTATTTCATATTCATTCTGCAATTTCCGCGAAGCCTATATATAAGCCGCGTAAACACATTGGCTACGCACCAACGCTAACGGCAAAGCTGCTGTAGAGATCTCAAGTTACGAACAGTCAAAAAGTAAGTATTTTTATTTTGTCGTGCTAAAAATTATAAGCTGTAGAAAATTTCTTCTGCACTACCTGAAAAAGCCAACAGATCACGACAGTTGGTATATAAAAAGGGCGCGTGAATTGAACAAGTCACATATTATTAGCACTGATAAAAATCCGGGCTTATACGGATCGAAAGCTTTGCAGTAATTAATTTACGTGGTGTTTCCGCAAACAAAACTATTATATGTTTTATCGCCTTGCAAACGTACAAAGAACTTATTACCTGAAAAAGATTAAGAAAGTTTGCATGTTTTTAGCAAAGGCTATTTTCCCTAGCCAACGTTCGCTAGAAATGGGCGTTCACTGGAAATGTTAAAGTTTTATTCAAATTTGATATTGTTCAAAATTTAATCACAACAATTCATTCTTCGCTTTTTCCTTCTAATACAGCATCAACAGCAACTGGTCGACAGCGCATTTTGAAGAGCTAAAGTAAGTCACAATTTTCTAGACTCCAAAGTTTGTATATAGACTCAGTTAATTCCGGCGAACGCAAATTGTTGCGCTCCCCGACCTCGTGTTCAGCACACGGGATTTCGCACGCTGCCGGCTGAAATTCGTCTGGCTGTAACAGTATATATGTCCCTTTGGGCTTGTGAATGACAAAATCGTATCAATTTTCCCGTATATCATGTGAACATTGGCATGGCGTAATTTACAAATCGTTTAAGAATTGTTGCATGCTCGAACAGCAACAATTTTTGACAATATATCTTTGCCGGGCAGGCTACTGGGACACCCATAATTCCTTGAAATTTAAAAGTATATTTAGAAGATGTATCCATTCAACTATTAGGAACCTTTAGGAATGAACTTCTCAAATCTCTATCTTTATAATACTCATACAGTATATTTAAAATATAACTTACTAATTCTTTGTATCCTTGTAAATATATAAATATATATAGCATCATGTATCCTATAGTCTTATAATTTTTCTGGTATATCATATATATCCATATATACCAATATGTAAATACTGCACGCACACTATATATATTTTCTATACTTTGTATTTTAATGTTTTGCAGGAACCATCTGAAAAACACTTCTTGTGATGTTGGTTTCCTGAATAAATATTATATTATTATTCATTCATTCATTCATTCATTCATGTGGCCACGTTTTGGTGGATTTCCTCACTTAAACCCCATTTTAAGTTGACAGAAAACTGAACTTACTGCTTGTTTGCAATAAATACAACTGTGTCCATATAGTTGAACCAAAGGTGTGAACAGAAAACGGCGTCTTTGAGTCGTAAGTACTAAAGTAAGGAACGACCTACAACCACCTACAACCACCTACAACGACGCTACAACGATCTACAACCACCTACAACGACGCTACAACGATCTACAACCACCTACAACGACGCTACAACGATCTACAACAACGCTACAACCACCTATAACGACGCTACAACCATCTACAACGACGCTACAACCACCTATAACGACGCTACAACCATCTACAACGACGCTACAACCACCTATAACGACGCTACAACCATCTACAACGACGCTACAACCACCTATAACGACGCTACAACCATCTACAACGACGCTACAACCACCTATAACGACGCTACAACCATCTACAACGACGCTACAACCACCTATAACGACGCTACAACCACCTACAACGACGCTACAACCACCTACAACGACCCTGCAATGATTTACATAGCGACCCTACAACGCCTTATGGTTTCTATTTTGGACTTGCTCGCCACTTGATAATAAACTCGTTGTTTATGTCTTTATTACTTTATCAATTGTTGTTTATATATTTTTATTCTTTAAAAAGTTGTATTGTGTGGCAAATTTAATTACAACGTCGCGATGCATGGCGATCATAACCTAAGTATCAGGTTCTATTTTACAAACTTGTAATAGCCTGAGCAAAGTTTATATATTCAAACTGTCGCAGAAGAAATTTAAATTTCACACAACGACAACAACAATCTAATATAGTAAAATATATCAACAAGAATAGTATAATCTAGATAGATAGATAGATAGATAGATAGATAGATAGATAGATAGATAGATAGATAGATAGATTGATTGATTGATTGATTGATTGATTGATTGATTGATTGATTGATTGATTGAAATCTTTATTTAAACACGGTGGTTTTATCAAATGGAATAAATAATAATTATTTACAATTTGTTCTTCCTAAAACCCGTGTATAATTTAGGATATACGTACATTTTTACATTTTTTTTGGAATTTTTGAAAGAAAAGAGACTATTTACAATTATTCATAGAATAATAACTGACTATGTTGGTGCAGATAGCAGATGTTCTAATCTTTTTATGAACCTTTTTAATGAAGGTTCATGTTTAAGTACGTCTGGTAAAGAATTCCATAGCTTTGCTCCAGTGAAAGCAAAACTTGAATTATAATAATCTGTTCGATTTACAGGAAGCTCAGGCTTTCTTGCCATTCTACTTTTCCTACTTTTTTCTACTTTTCTTCAACTTTCCTACTTTTCCTACTTTTTATTAAAAATCGCTTGATTTTCCTACTTTTTCCTACTTTTTCTCATAAAATCCTACTTTTTTAAGACAGCTTGAGGAATCAGTATGTTATAGCTCTCGTAATTAGGTCTATAGGACTCGTAATTTTTATTCCCTATTTGTGTCCCAGATGATAAGATCTCAGGAGAAAAAGTACATTTTCCGAGTATAAAATTTCATAGCCTCTCCAGAATCATAATTAATGAAGACTCTAAAAGTGCCATTTCCGACGATCTAGATATTCCAAATATTCAACTCCCCCGCCCCCCCCCTTGTTAATCAAGCATCATATATACAGGGCCGTAGCAACCGGGGGGAATAATTTGCTAATTATCTTTTTTTTCAAAATCATGCAGACCTTTATCATTTAATCCATGACAAACTGCAAAGAATGAAGATATTACCCATACTTTCCTGCAACGTATCCAATATACAGGGTGTATCAAAATAAACGCAATTCATCTTTTGTGCTTAATAACTTTCGAAATACTATTTCTAGTTAAACGCATTTAGGCTTACTTCAAAGCCTGTTCTTTTCTCTTTCAAACAAACTATTATCCTTGTCTCCAATGCTAGTAATGATTGCACAGGAAAAGATTTAGTAAAACCTATCATTTTTAGTTTCTGTTTAATTATGCAAGTCTACTATGTTATTGTTTAGTCGGTTTAAATGTTAGAATTTTCTTCTTTAAACTTTAATGTTGTCGTCACTACATCTGGAAAACCACGTAAGAACAAATTAAAAGTATTTTAAAAGAGATCAGGTTGTTTGAAAATCCCAAACGAACGCTAAAAATCATAGAATCAAAACATTCTGGTGTCTGAGCCAGAGTGTCATCGAATTACGATGTAATGTAAACAGATATTATAGCAAGCTGATGTCAGTCAGCTTAGATGGTCCAAGCCAAAATTATATCGCATTTGAAGTTTCAAACTGTGTTAAAAATAGTGGAAGAAAAGCCGTAATTATACTTATTGTTACAATCCATTTATTAAAATGCAACATTTTTTTGTTTTAATGAAAAAATCAGTTATTTTCATGAGAACGATTTGTTCTTCCATTTCAATTTTTTTAATCTCCAATCGCAATAACGTAAAGTATTATTACCCGCGAACCAATGAGTCAAATTTAAGAAACAACCCACTGTTAGAAAGCTGAATGGCTACGCTTTAAAATGAATGTAAACTTTAACATTTTCGTCTATTATTTGTTTAGCAATTTACATTTCAGTCGAGGATTGCGTTTTTTTTTATACACCCTGTATAGTTAAATAAATACGCCTTCGCCCATTTAGTACTACTAAATTGTAAATTTCGACACACTAAAACAGTGTTTTCTGACCACTAGAATTCTGTCAATTCTTCCCCAAAGTCCAGGAAATGGCATTTCAGAGACTCTAAATTTAAAAATTTCCTCGGGCTTTCGGCCCTCGCTTTCAGCCCCCAATTAAAAAGAGCTTCCTACGGCCCTGATATATGCTCCTGCCGCAGTGTGGATTGGTGCATTGTGTAGCCCAATACATGCATTGCACTTGAATTGCGTTGCTGCAGAGCAGATGCCTTAGCTTTTATAGCGATGCAATTTAAAAGTTTTGAGAAAAAAATCCTGCATAGATGAATGAGTACATAAAAATATTGAGCACCAAAAATTCATACAACTTCCCCATCAGATATCTAATGGTCTACTCCTTACCACATATATCATAGGGGGCCAATTTTGTATATTTTTGTGTTATTTGCATTTCCAAAACTCCTAATTTTGTCCTACTTTTCTATACATTTTCCTACTTTATTCCTACTTTTCCTAAAATTCTAGTCCTACTTTTGTCCTACTTTTTTACACGAGGATGCCAGAAAGCCTGGAAGCTCGAAATTTAATTTGGATTGACGAAGGTTATAATCATTTAAGCTACTATGAAATGTAAACATTTCCGTTAGATATTCTGGTGCAAGACCATGTACTATTTTATACATCATAATAGCTTTTTGGTTTTCTCGCATTTCTTTTATATTCATCCAGTTTAATTCCGCCAAAATCAACGAAGATTATTTTAATAAGGGTGCTTCCGTATGTAATACATGTACAGTAAATAAAATACGGTTCAATTAATGCTCTATACAGAGACACAAGATTTTTCCGATTAAAGAGTTTCTTCACTTTACGGAGGGCTGCAATATTACGGGATACCTTTAAACGGATGCTCTGGATGTGTATTTCCCATGTTAAGTTCTCGTCAATATCGACACCTAAACACTTTACAGATCTAACTTTACTTAATGTCACATTATAGCAGGGCCTTTTTTAAGGATTTTCCCGTGGGGGCATTTTTTGAAACGGGACCTTTCTGTGAGGTAACATATTACAGGGAGATAGCAATAGCTGAAGGCCACGTGTGTGACCAACACACCATTCACGCATGAATGGGGAGTCTGGGGTGTACTCCCCCAGAAATGTTTTGAAATTTCAAGCACGGAAATGCCAATGGCCACTTGTGTGGGGGCATAATCTCCAGAAAATTTTTTAAATTTGAAACCTGGAAATGCTCTTTCCTGCATTCTGAGCATCCAAAAAATAAAAAAATTGTTAACAATAATTTATCATTATTTAGTGATAGAAAAACGTAACAATTTAAATCGATTTTGTTAAACAAGGACAAAGGATAAAGCCTAAAACTTACTTTCCGTTTATTTATTTGTTATTCTTCGCTGTTTTGTTGGTATAAATTTAGGAAAAAGGGACTTTTCCTGGGGTGGCAAACTGTGATTTCGTGGGGGGGGGGTACAAGGGGGGACTGGGGGGCATTTGCCCCCCAGCTTGTATGTTAAAAAAGGCCCTGCATTATAGTACTTACGAAAATTTAGATTGGGGCCATGTCTTGGCGGTAAAAGACTGAAGAGTTTGTGCGAGGGTACTGAGATTCTTTCAAACTGGTTATCGCAGAGTTCCTGACGTCTGTTATGTAAGGTGATTAAACCGCCAATTGGCCCATATTAGCATCATAGGTTTTACTCGGGTCAAGGATTGATAACGCTCTCTTTTGTACTCTGTCAATATCAGCACTCGGGTACTGGCGCAATGCGCACCAACCAATCAAATGACAGATTAAAAAATCTGAGATAGAACAAAAAACAATGAAAATGTGCATTAAATTGGATAATGCACGAACTCCTTGCTCGGTCATTATTTTTAAGAAGGCCTCGGAGCTCATGCATTATCTAGCCTGCGAACAGGCCTGTTCGCAGGCTAATGCATTATCCTATATATAGGCACAGAATAAAGACATACAGAAGTGTAACTTCCATTACAAAACCGTAAGGCGCTTTTTTACCGAAATAGCTGGCGGCCATGTTCTTAGCAAGTGAGAGGCATTCACCCCCTGGAATATTAAATTTTCAATATGTTTTCAGGGGTGACTGCCTCTCTTTAGGGTACTTGCTAAGAACATGGCGGACTGAAAAAAAAAACCCTTACGCGAAATTAACCTGAAGTGAGATCTCTGTATGTAGTTCCTCTGTGATATAGGCCTGATCGCAGATTACGGCGATCACGACTTTTGAGTGATGATATTTATAAATTTTCATTTACTTCGGGACACTTCGGCACTTCGCGCCAAATTGTAATTTACCGTGCGACATGGCATGCTGCTTCACAGCCATTAAATATACTAAAATTTCGGAAAATATTTAATACATACGAGCCGGGTCGTTGTAGGATTGTTATAGGGTCGTTGTAGGTGGTTGTAGCGTCGTTGTAGGTGGTTGTAGCGTCGTTATAGGTGGTTGTAGCGTCGTTATAGATCGTTGTAGCGTCGTAGGTGGTTATAGGTGGTTGTATATTGTTGTAGCATCGTTGTAGGTGGTTGTAGGTTGTTGTAGGTGGTTGTAGGTGGTTGTAGGTGGTTCCTTACTTTAGTACCTGCGGTCTTCGAGTTGAAACTTTCAAAGTTTACGCGTTACATTATTAATTATTCACTGAGATTCAAACATAAGCTTATATATTGGCAAATGCCAAATCATGTCAACCATGACATGTCACGTGAAGCGGTTTTATACCCGATAAAGCTCATCTTTATCACTTACTAGTAATCATCAGCATTCTTTACATAAAAGTCCATCCTAATTAGTATTTTTTATATAAAGAATACTATTGAGATCGGATTTCTATTGTAGTCATGTTTGAAGCTATTCAAAACACTTGTAGTCGTGTGACTCGTGTCTCAATATGATATCTAAAATAATGCATAAACTCTTTATCAACAGACTTCATAGCTCTTATGTTCGAACCATTCGAGGTTATTCTTTCTGGAACTGGAAATATGTGACCATGTGGCTTAAGTTGTTAACTCCGTGTTAAGGTAATTCCGCAGTAATTGTTCCCAAAATGAGAATGTGCTGAAACTTTCCAGGCATGGAGTTTATTTATGTTTCATTACGAGTAACAGCAAAATCGCAACAGCCCGATATTTATTGACGTTTTTAGCGCGAATTTTGCTTTTGTAAACTTATCTTGTAATTATTTTTGAAAAGATATTGTGTTTTGAGCAAAATGAAACTACTAACGTGTACAATTCTGATCTATAAATGTCTTTTTCACATTTTTTACAGAGTTTGGGTAATGGTCGAGTGTCGAGGGTCGAGGGTCATAGGTCGAGGGTCGAGGTTCGGAAGTCGAGGTTCGGAAGTCGAGGTCAAGGGTCAAAAGTCGAGGTCGAGGGTCAAAAGTCGAGGTCGAGGGTCAAAAGTCGAGGGTCGAAAGTCGAAAATACTATGTTTTTATCCATTTTAAAAGTTTTACAACCATTAAACGCGGCAAAACAATTAGTTTTGCTGTCAAAACTGAACAATTTCGCCTATGGCTATGCCGTATGGCTATGTACTGTACAACTGAAAGTTTCGTTTGTGGAACTAAAAGTCTGATGCGAGGTTTGATGTTTGAAAGCATACATCTTTTATTTCACATTGGACAAAAATATATACAAACACGGACGATTATACAAAAATGGCGTTTCACTCTCATGAGAAACTGACTATAGCCTATAGGTAATATGTTATCTCTTGGATTTGGAGGCGAAAGAGTTCTGAAATTCTCAGAACTTCAACTTAACGATACTCTTCAAACCGCGTATGGTTTTGGAGGTTTAAAGTGTTAGGGTGTGCGAGAAACAGTTGATATTTATATATTTTATAACATCGTGTTTACATGTCTGCACCGGAAGTGCACATGTTCGATTGACAGTTTCATATTCATAATATAGTTGCGCGAACGTTGTAGTGTATTAATAAAATGGAGACTTTCTTTAGTTGTTCTGTCAAAAATAACATGCATGAAGCACGAATAATTATAACAGGGTGATATTAGTTCGGTTCAGAATTATCTCACGACTATTGTGAGAGATTTTTAATATTTGCTGCGCTGGGACCCGATTCGTTCTGATAGTACAATAAATACAATATATTTTCGAATCACCCCACCGGCACCGTATGTTCTCGAATAGTAAAATTTAGAAAAACAAAAAGGAACCTAATTATGCCCTAAGGCATGTTCTGTACTAACAGTAATAAAGTTAGAAATGTTTAATAAAAAACTAATATTTCCCATTTAATTTTCGACCCTTGAATTTCCACTTTCGACCCTCGACTTCTGACCCTCGACCTCGACTTTTGACCCTCGACCTCGACTTTTGATCCTCGACCTCGACTTTTGACCCTCGACTTTCGAACCTCGACCCTCGACCTATGACCCTCGACCATTACCCAAACTCTTTTTTACATATCTTTCTTGGAGAACATGCATTGATAAAGGATTTTTTTCAAGATCCAGAAATGAGTTTTAGTTTAATTTCGGATGTAAATGTAAAGTGCATTAAAGAAATAAATTATCAGTTAAAAAACGGGGGTCACCGATCTTTTTAGGGAATTGTGGCATTAAAACGTGAAATGCAAGTAAATAAATTTAAAAAACTCCTTAATAATTCAGGAGCAAAACACAAAGAAAAATCATAATTAAGCGTGTCGTGGTTTTATATGTGATAAAAAATCATGTTAATTTACATAAACTTTAGCTTTGATTTTTTCGGTTTAGACAAAGTTTATTTTAAAAATTACTTCGCCAATGAACTCGTATAAGATGAGTCGTTGTAGTCGTGTTTTATCACTTGTAAAACGTTCGGCTGCGCCTCGCGTTTTATATGTGATAAAACATTAAAACACTTCTACGCGTGCTTTAAATAGTACATACTACAGACCAGTGGCGTAGCTAGCGGAATTTGACTAGTCCTGCTCTCTGCAGACCCACCCATTCTAGAGGGGTCCGGGGGCATGCTCCTCGGGGAATTTTGAATTTTAGAAGTCTGGAATGGCCATTTCCTGCGACTTCACGGCGAAATACTCCAAAGGGAACATCAAAAAATTGCGTGATTAGCGGAAAATTTTTGATAATTTTTTCAGAAAAAAAAATTTGTAACTTTTTGAAATCCATGCATTTTTTTAATCATATTTCACTATATATTTTTCAACTTAACTGAAAATATAATGTAGCTAAATATAGTCAAGTCACGAGAGAAAAATATCATGTATACAATACGCGTCTTTAATACGATCTTTCACTTGATCAACACATAATCCAACCGAGATATACTATTGCTCGAGTCAGGACTCGAGCCAGGACTCGAGTCAGGACTCGAGCCAGGACTGGAGTCAGGACTCGATCAAAAAATTCGAAAATACGGGGAATTGCCATTACCCAATAGTTTTGTTTCATAAGACACGTTACGCAGGCTAGCTAAATGTTCTACTAGTAGCAAATCAAATACAACCTTTCAATAATTACCGCTAATCACTTTGTGTAATTTACCAATGAGAGCGAGGTTCCATGACCAAAAAGTATGTGTAATTATCGAAAGGGTGTATTTGGTAATACAGTTAGCCATATTACAAGAAAATAAGGCATGGAGAATTATCCTAGCTACTCTTTGACGAATGCTAAGCGGCAACAAGTTCTGTTTTGTAAAGAGCGAGAGACTGCTAGTGATGGGCAATACCAACTGTTTTAGTTCGATAAAATACTGGCCGGATATTTTTTTGGGTATCGATATTTGTGCAATATATCAAGGAAAAACAACAACAATGGTATTGACTATTGTTTCATTCACTACCTTCCGGCGCTAATAACCGTTACAGTTAGGGGCCGATTACATGGAGCATTTTCAACCCCGGGGTTGAACTCAGCCCTGTTTACCGGGCTGAAATTTCAGCCCTGTCTGTAATACAAAACTCTAGCCCTGTCTGTAATACAAACTCTATCAAAATCAAACGCGCGATTACATGACATAATTTTCAACCCAGGGCTGAGTTCAACCCCGGGGTTGAACTCAGCCCTGGGTTGGAAATTTTGTCATGTAATCGTTTCAACCCAGGGCTGAAATTATCGCGAGTTATTCGAGCATGCGTGGTAGTGACTATTTACTACAAGAAAACAAAGTAAAGGCTTTTTACTTCCGCGAATCGATGCCGCCAGAACGTATAGTATAACGTTTTAACCCCGGAGTTGAAATCGTCCATGTCATCGCAAAAAAATTCAACCCGGTTAACAGGGCTAAGTTCAACCCCGGGGTTGAAAATGCTCCTTGTAATCGGTCCCTTAATAGCCAAAGTCAGATGAGATTGACTGCTCTGTATGTTGATCTGTATGTTGATTTGTATATTGATCTACGGTTTTTGTTGGCGACGCTAATAAAACTAAAACTATACCAAATATCAACTTTTCTCCTTTAGTTCTTTTATCGAATTTGGCGGAAAAAGGCGGGAAATTGATTTGGTAAACAAGTTCTTTCAGTTCCTTAGGTTATCGATAAACAATTCCTCAGATTCAGTTAAATTTCCTTAAACATTTCGCATTGTTGGTGAACGAATAGTCTAAATTTAAGGAAAGTTACTTAAAAGTGAGAACGCTGCTGGTAAATTTTCATCCATCAAAATCACTTGACGTCATTTTTGGCTCGAGTCCTGGCTCGAGTCCTGGCTCGAGTCCTAGCTCGAGTCCTGGCTCGAGTCCTGGCTCGAATCCTGACTCGATATTTAGGTACCCTCGATTGTTCATTACGATTATGGAACTTTAAAATGAACATAAAACGAATATTTCATATATTCTGTTGCATTGACCTTCGTTTGGATGTTTGTGACCTTGTTTACGTTTGAATAACTTAGTGACTGTTGAGTAACGAATTTCTGACGTTTAATTCAAACTACGCATCTGATTGGATAATAAAATTAGAAACCCATGTACAAAAATAAATTGATAACAAAATCGTGAAGTCATGTGACCAAAATGATGAAACAATTTGATCACATGATTGAATGAAAATTGAATTTGGAATTATCAAACGTCTTTCCCCGTTTGAAAATCTTAGCGGGATGTGGCCAGTTTAGTGATTTTAGTAATATATCATTAACTGTGCACAGAACTGGAATTTAATTATATACTTCACTCATGACCTTCAAAACATTCTCAATTATTCAGTGGTCTTCGACATGTTCACCAAATATTTTGTGTATGTTACTCAACAGTTAACATTGGCAAGTGTAAACAACAAGTGACATAACTTTTGCTTCATACGATTACAATAAAGTTTTGAAAATTTGATGAGTATGGATTGAATTGACAGGGGACAGTTTACTAAATAACTGGCTGTATAGACACTGTGAATATTGTTTGTATGAACTTTTATTTCCTGACTGCATAATTATCTGTTACAATCATAATCACATTATAAAGTTAGTTAAATTTTCTCTGGGCAGGGGGGGAGCACTTGCCCTGCCGCCCTCCCCGTTGTGTACAGCCCTGTTTTAAATCTTATCTGCTATTATAATAAGTGTTGAAATATTTCAATTGTCCCATGTCATCTTCATTATTCAGTTTCTTTCAAGAAAATACAAAATGTGAATCAACTTTTTCGCAGATACATGTACGCGTCGCGTACCTATTTTTATCAGGAGCATTTAACACGAACGTGTACTACTCGCACGAAGTGCTCGTACGTGTTCCCACGCAATTTCGAGTTTCTCCCAAACTTCCACTCGTATTTTTATAACTCTATAGAAACACGGAAAATGTTTTCTATTTCTTAAATATTACTGAAAAGTTACCGTCTATACAAAGATTTTTAAAGATGCGGTACAGTCCGTATGTAAACAAAGGCTTTGTTTACATTTCGGTATCCAAAATATTGAATTTTATTCGACAACTATTTATATTTTCATGATTCTAGAGTATAATAAATTATCAAGAGACAACAATCAAACTTTGCAAGAACATAAAATGAAATAAAAACCTAAATAAACTGTTTGTAAATAAAAAGAGGGCTCCTTTGTGCACATGCGCAGATCGGACTGTACCGCATCTTTAAACACTAATAATAATAACACATCGCTCGCTCCGACCTACTACGAACGGCGGCTATTTTTTAAATATTTAGTGTAATTTTTGCTGTGCGTTGTGTACGGTGCATCTATGGAAGTGCACACTTGTGTGAGTGTCGCCCAAGAAATTTTAAATTTTAAAATTTGAAAGTAATAAAATTATATAACTTATATAACTTATATACAAATGCCAATGAAATAGTTAACGACGTAATAAGATCCAATGAAATGAGATAGTTGAGGCTAACTGAAAAGTGAAAACATGGCGCTAGCTGTAAAATTTGTTTTATTACGCCCTGCTGAAAATCATTCGCCTTGTACTGTCTTATAGATTTCCTCGGACTGCTGGTACAGATCACAACAGAATGGCAATGTGTAACTCTTTTCACCGATTGTTATTTCTGTGGTTGTACATCCTATGTTTATGTCAGTATTCCAGTCTAGTTTCAGGTAAGGAACTCTCCTCCGCATGCAGAGACGTTTTAATTAAAAGCGCGGGCTATATAGCAGTAATATGGGCCGAGAAGACGAGAATTCTGTCAGATTAAGGACATAACCATGAAGATAGCCGGCGTAGCTGGCCGCTGGCGGTTTTAAGGAGTTGGGGTTGAAGGGCAGCGAAAATTAGGGAGGCGCGGAAGAGGCGAAAATGTAGCATGAGCTTCCACCTTTGAATTTACTACATGAATAAATTGTTAAACACGTCCGAAATTATCAATATGATAAATTCGCGACACAGGCTGAGCCCTAACACTAACGTAATCTAATCTTTATCTGACACTAATCTAAACTTGATGACCTTTTTTTGTTTTTCTTAATAATCTCGCGTTTCTCAAACCCCAATCCTTAAAACCGCCAGCTATATGCAAGCTATCATAAAGGCGGTATATTAGTTTGTTAGTCTAGCAAATTTTATATTACGTTGTTTATAGTGTTCTTCAGTATTGTTTTTATTAACGTCAAACAACTGTTATGCCTCGTGGTGATGACCCCCAAAGCATCATGGGTTATATACACCACATAAGGAAGGAATAAAGCAATTTCCAGAATAAAGTCATGTTGGAAACTTTCTTTTCACGATTCTCTGAAGATGGCAGTTCAGTGATAAAACAGTTTTGTTTTACAAACGACCAATAAGATTATTTGTTTTTATAGACGGTTTACTTATAAAAGCCACCAGGACTGGCACCATTGATATCTCATGTACGCTAGATAGTGCATCTAATTATTCTACAATTCAAAAATTGAAGCCGTAGGATATTCCCATGAAATGAGAAGATTGGTATGTTTTCTATTTCTTAAACAGGGAACTTAAACATTAAGTTAAACCTATTCCAAATACATTTTTAAACTATTCAAATGATGAAAGTTATTGTTGTTTTTTAAGCGTTTATTAGCGAGTGGGAAACACCAACATGGCCGCCATCTGTTCAAATGGGGGTAACCGCTGGAATATTCTTGGCTTCAATTTTACTAAAAGAGATGCGCTATCTAGTCTATATAAGATATATATGGTTAGCACTCGCGCGCAAAATGACTTAAGACAAATTTTACGAGTTCGATTCATCACCAGAGTTTTGCATGAAATTATTATTGACCCCTTTCCCCCCACCCCACCCATGCCAATGTTGGTAATGTTATAAAATGAAACCACCAACTAGATAAACAACATTGAACGGAGGGGTGGATTATTTTGCGATTGAAATGTGTCGGTGGCCATTTTTTTAGTATTTTATTAGAATTAGCCAACAAATTACGTGCAGTGTCTCAACCATTTTGCATGCGATTGGGGCTTCATGGGGCCTCGTTTGAAAATGAGATAATTGCTTGATCTGTAGAGATACATGGAGACACAAAGACTGATATGCATGCTCATGCAGGCATTCATCCACATTATTGCTTTTATTTTAGGAACAACCAGAGACTATTTCGGTGCAAAACGTCGTCTTATGAGACATCTCACCAATGATTCGGAAATTGTGAGGGAAATCCGTCCAGCTCGCGACAACAATACATCAGTGAATATTAAAGTTAGAATCCATCTGCGTGAAATTGCGAATGTGGTAAGTTCACTGACCTCCACATAGCTGGAGTGAGGACTTCATTCAGTAGACATCAGACGGAGGTCAACCTGCAGTTATCAGACTTAGAAAATAATATCAGTTTTAGCTTGTGGAAACATTACGTAAATTTATTACTTGCAAATGATAAGTAATGTTAATTATTTTTACTGTATGCAGTTGAACACCATCAAACTTACCAGTTCTCTAATTCTCCTTGATACAGGATGAGAAAAATCAATTAGTTCAAATAACAGTTTGGCTCAGATTTGATTGGAATAATCCGTTCTTAACGTGGGATCCTGCGGAGTATGGAGGGATTGAAAGTGTTCACGCGAATCATGAACTTTTCTGGGTGCCTGATGTTGCATTGTTTAATGAGTGAGTTCTGTCTCCCTGTTTCTTGCTCTGTCAGCCTAGGAAACACTTGGAGATTCACATTTTATCTCAATGTCCCAGCTTGCCCACACTTCGAAACATTACTGCGCTAATAAAATCTGCTTCCCAGAAAGAAAAAAATGTTTTATAGCCAACTTAAAAACGTTTCCCGAAGTGTCTACCTTCAGAAAACCTGGCTAGGTAAACAATGTTTCTTAGTTTGGCCACCTTTAAAAGAGCCATTGCTGGGAAACATTGTGTCCTGTTTTGGCCACTTGCCTTGGAAACAAATAAACAATGTTCCTAAACATGCTACTATCGGGAAACATGGCTAAGAAACAATGTTTATTTTATGTTTCCTTTTCATTTTATTTTTTTTCATATAATAGTTTAAATTCACTTTTTCAGAGCACGTCTTGATGATAAAATTCTCTACAAACGTTTAGTAACAAAACTAGTTATCAACAAAAACGGTGATTGCACATGGAACGTTCCAGCTACATTGTTAAGTCAGTGCAAGATCGATGTATCCCGGTTTCCCTTCGACGAACAAAAATGCCATGTTTCCATTGGCTCTTGGACGTATTCGGTGCATAAAATTAACACGACCTACTTCGAACGGCATGTGGACAGGCGTCATTTTATCAAACATGGGGAATGGGATGTCGAAAGCGCGCTTTTGCACAACAAAATAAAGAACTACGGTGCAAATAATTTGCAATATTCACATGTTACCTTAACTTTGAAAATAAAACGCCGGCCATTGTATCATTGCGTGTACGTAGTCATCCCTTCTGCAGTAATCTCGCTGTTAGCCCCACTTAGTTTCATTCTGCCGTCAGAAAATGGTGAACGAATATCGTTATTGAACGGTGTTCTGGTTGCAAATTCTGTTTACATGTTAATAGTATCATCTGTGTTACCAGAAACCTCCGATGCTATTCCGATTCTCGGGAAATACCTTCTTGGCAATATTATTACAATCGTGCTATGTTTGTGTGCAACTTTTGTGAGTTTGAGATGCTATGAACTGACATGCCCCATGTGGCCATGTTTGTGGAAGAGTTTTAAATATTTGGCAAATTGTAAGGAGGAAATTCCGTATGATGGGGAATCAAACACAGAAGATATGGAGAGTTCGAGAATGGAACGTGCAAAGAAATGGAAAACAGCCTCAAAAGTTCTCGACACATTTTTCCTCATCATCTTTCTTGTAGCCTACATTAGCTTGATTGTGTGGTTTACAGCGTGAGTGTCTGTTGATGTACAGAGCAGCAGATGGTGGTCAACTTTGAAAATGTTCACACTAAAAGAGCAAGAAAATTATACTGCATCTCGTAATTCCACTGACTTTCCATTAAATACAAGACTTTGAGAAAAGAATTAGCCGGCGATTATAAAGCTATTATTTTGTCACTCTGATACTGAACTGCCTCTTGACCACCATCTGCTCCATGATAGCACTTTAGTGAAACGTGCCAATATTTAGGCATAAATCTACACCATATGAAATCTATGAAAATCTATATACCTCTTATAAATTTTTTGTCGCTAGAAAATTGAACGAGTTTGCATATCAAATATTTCAAAGTTTTAAAGCAGCTTCTTGTAACTAGTTGTAGTTCAGTCTATTAACTTTTAAATTTAAAATTAATGTCAATAATATTTTTTTGTGAATAATATAAATATATCGTTTTATTAATCTGGATACCCTCGCACGTGACAAGGTAAAACTGTCTGGCCGGGTAGTATAGAATACCGCTATCGAACAAGGGCAGTTTAAACCGAGACTCAGAAAAGTTTCGAACGGTCAGTGTAAGTGGTGGCAATAATAAAACTTGGGCTCATAGGGATGTAATTCCCTGAAAAATACAAAAACAACTTCGCTATATTAACTTCCAGACGCCATTGACCACATGCATAGATTTTAAATAAAATTTAACAAAACGGATTCCCTAAATAAATCATTTTTCATGTAATCTAGTTACACGTTATCCCGGCAATCTGTGACATCGCTAAGATCAGTCCGGTAGTAATTCATAAACGGCGCGAAGAAGCTGTCAACTGATTAACTGCGGAATATTTCTTGCGCAGGAGAAAGACGATTTGCTCAATTTGCAAAAAGAGAAAAGGCGTGTTTAGCTTTTAAAACGATTTTTGCTAACTGATAATGAGAGAGTCGCTTATTTGGCCATTTGCTCTTTTTATTTTTACTCATCTGCTATTCAACTGCACAGCCACAGGTGAGGATTTATTTTTTGTTGTATAGTAACTATAAAGTAAGATTTTTATAGGTGTTTTTACCATTTTTGTGAAAATGATACAGTGTAAAGATTATATGAAATTTAAATGTTAGGTCGGCTGTATAGCAGTTTTAAAATTTGTTTTTCTGTCTTGTCGGGAGCTGTCCGCTTGACAACAAAATATTCATAAATGAATAAACGTTGACCAACATAGATAATGAGTTATATTGTTATTCTAATGAGTTTCACAGCCATCTTCCCTTCGATAAGCTATGGATATATGTAGAGAGCTTCCAAGACTTAGCATTAATTATTTTTTCACTCGACTCTAGCTACCAATAGATAGTTAGGCATAAATTATATAGTCATATCAAAATAGAAATTTTATTGTAAGGAGAAATTCCTATATCCGGCTTGTAGTTGTACGGAATAAAATAGTGAATTTGATATAAGTTTTTAGTCGCATTAAAATTGGGGAGTTTTATATGACCGTCTTATGTAGTAGTTTTATTAAGTTTTTAAATCTATTATAAATGTAAAATGTTGTTATTTGGAATAAATAAATCTAATATAACTATAACTATCGGTGTTTTATAAATCGATTCATCCTATAGCTAGGATCATGACAGGTAAAATAGTTTGGCGGTAGCATAAAATACCGCTAACGAGGACAGTTTTAACGGGGAATCTGCTCAAACCTCCAAGTTCCAGAAATCATTTACTTTTTTCAATAAACATTTCTAAATTCACACTAGCAGATTCGATTATAACATATATATTATTTCACGATCACTTCTATTCTTTAACCAATTTGAAAGAGCAACGCGAATTAACCAGATGCATGGATTTTAATATAATATTAATTAAACAAAACAAATTCCCTAAAAGTATGTCAGATTAGTATGCCCATGTCGGAAATCTCTGAATTATATACTGACATTCTCGGAGTCGCCAAACCGTCTTTTGAAATTCGAAAGTACACGTCCACAAGTAGATTGCCATGCATGTAGGCTTTTGTAGCATTTCTAAAGGCAATACATGTTTTAGTTTGAAACAATATTTCATCAATACACCAGTGAATGTTAGAATTAGCATCCATCTACATGAAATTGCGGATGTGGTGAGGACTTCATTCAGCGGACATCATGCAGACGGAAGTCAACCTGCAGTTATCAGACTTAGAAAATAATATCAGTTTTAGTTTGTGGAAACATTACGTAAATTTATTATTTGCAAATAATAAGTAATGTTAATTATTCTTACTGTATGTAGTTGAACACCATCAAACTTACCAATTCTCTAATTCCCCTTGATACAGGATGAGAAAAATCAATTAGTTCAAACAACAGTTTGGCTCAGACTTGATTGGAATAATCCGTTCTTAACGTGGGATCCTGTGGAGTATGGAGGGGTTTAAGTCGGAATTATAAAAATGTTCAGTCTTGACTTGTCATCAGAGTTTGCCTTCATCAATTTACTGACTTTTTGTCAAGGCTGTGCCAGATGCTGTTTTGCCAGATACTGGATGGTACCAGAAGTTCCAGTATCATCCAGTTAATATACAGCACAATTTTAGTAGAAACTGCCAGATGTCTATATTTTACTGGAGATTGGATGCTGGTATCCGGCACATCCCTAACTTACTGTGCAATGCAGTAATCTACAAATCATTTTACCCTGGAGTCCAAAAAAGAAGGCAAATCCTAGTTACCATTCAAACCCTCTTCAAGACAAACAACAAGTTTAGCCATTTAGGTAATTTATATTCAGGTTAAAAAAATCCACATTCCCCCCAGAGAGGAAAATTCTGCTGTCCGGAGGGAGAAGTGAAGAAATTTTGTTTCTGATAATAGTAAGTGTTATTAGCTATTTCCCAATCGAGCATAGGACTGGGTCTAGTTGATGTTTGGAGGGACAAGGGGATCCTCGGGAAGGAACGTGAGGCTCTGGGATAATCCGTTGCCGGAAGCCAGGAATACTGGCTAAGATTGAACTATGCATTCCATTTCAACTGCCAATCAGATTCTTCCCTGAAACGGATCATCCCAGAGCCTCGGGTTCCTTCCCGAGGATCGCAGGCTCGGGGAATGAGATTGAGGGACAACAAGTTGTAGTGAGCAAGCTAAATACATATTAAAAGATGCCTTATTATAATTGTTGTATTTCAGGCTGCACAAACTTAGGAATGTAGGAAAATTTCCTAAATGTCATATTCGGCATATTGTTTATTTTTTGTCCCTCCAAACAAGCAACTAGACCCAGTCCTCTGCTTGATTGTGAAATGGCTAATTAGGACATCCGAACTCAGAAGGGGTCGGGTGGTATGCATGTTTTCCGGAATGACCCAATTGGTGACTAGCATCTCCCCCCTTGAAAATGTGCTACCAGTACTTTATTTTCTCAGCATTCTGCCGGTGTGCTGAGTTTGATAATACGTACACCAAAAATCTCAATGTTTATGAGTCGAGTGTAGATTGCTGAGTGCTTCCCCTAAAAATTGTCTCGTGAAAGCAAACTAGGTAATGTAGTGTTATCGACAACTTTTACTGTCCTCATGGAATATTTCTTTGCCACTCGAATATTTTCATCCTCGTCATCAAAGAGCAATATTTCTTGTGGCTTGATCTTGATCTCGGTATAAACCGCAAACTTCAATTCGCATTTGAACGTCAGTTCTACAAGTTTCCTAAGGTTTCGACAAGTTTTTAGTCAATTTTATATTCTTCAATTTAAATGCACAAATTGTCCTAACTTCGAACAGCTTGATCTCAAAGTACGACTTGAACGAGACTGCCGTGTACGTGAATCTTAACCTCTCTAACAGAGTGAGAAAATATATTTTGTAATTCTTTTTCATAATTTGGAAACACTAATTTTGTCTGAGATGCAGTTCAGCTGATATCAACTTTAAGTATCAACACTTTAAGCCCTGGTCGGTCAAAGGAGGGTTGAGAAACGAGAGTTTGCAAGAGAATTTTTTCACTGACTCAAACGAGAGTGCATAAAAGTTGGTGATCAAACGAGAAACGAGAAGAGTTGCAACTCTCATCCTCGTTTATATTCTTAATATTCTGTGACTGGGTATTTTTCTGTTTATTACAGTATATAAAGAACAGTCTTTGAAAAACGATAATTTTTACAGAAAAGCGATAATTGAAAAGCGATAATTTTCACACGTGAGATTATCGTGAATAATCTCACATGTGAGATTATCACTTTTATCAGTGCTCGAAATCTGTATAAAGCACTATACTTTATATAATAAAATATTATAATTATTAAATTATATAATTTTTCTATAGAACTTTATGAGTTGGAGAGTCCCATCACGGTTGCTGAACCAGAAACTTGGTAGGTATTGTTGTATTATCATATATAGGCAATAACACTGAAATAATATACCGACATGACATATTATACACTATTTTGTTAAGTATGAATAATTTGAGAAGTAGATTTTGCTGATGGCATCAATTTTATATTACGTTTTTTTGTAGTTTTGTTTGTATGCTGTAAATTTCATCATATTAGTTAATCGCCGTTGGTGGAGTTTTTGGAGTTTTGGAAATTACGAAATCGTCTTTCCTAGTCTCGTCACTGCCAGTGGTCGTAACTTCAAGTGTCGTGGGAGGAATCCTAGCCTTCTTACTACAGGCGTTCGTGCTATTGTTGTTGAGAAAAGCGCGTTCAAGCACTTCAGAAGAAGGAACTGCTGATCCGAATGCTCTCGAAAAGTATGTTTATACCGACAATTTTTACATTAATTTGTCAGTACAGCAATAACTATATAATTACCCTCGGCTTCTCCGTTTGCCTTTTTGGGGCGAAGGGGGGTGAAGAGAGACACTCCTGATGAATGTAGTTTTACGCCTGTATCTTGAAAGCTCACTCACACTCACACTCAATGAGTGGAGGTTCAATCTGAGCTTCTCTCAAGCGTCAATGCTGTTTTTGAATAGCTGGAGGGTGAGTAGTCTCATAGTAAGGTACGACACTATAGCCCTCCAGCTATTTAAAAACAGCATTGACACACACAAGAGAAGCTCAGATTGAACCTCCACTCAATGAGTGTAAGTGAGCTTTTAGAATACGGGCGTTAGAGTCCAAATCTGATAAAAGGTTGCATGGGGAGCTTGGGAGGGGTGGAAAATTGTCATTATAGGGAGTATTGCTGCCGCGTATCTGATTGTACGCATCTATAAAGTTAGGTATTTGACTATATGTCTCCCATGAAAGTAAATTGTCAAATATTCTGAAATCAATGTTTGACACTGTTGGAAGGTAATTTATGAAGATCTTGCGGTGCAAGAAGTAAGTCGCCCTTCTCAAATCCTGGCGACGCGAATGATCGTATACCAAATTATTTCTAAATGCTTCGTCTTAATGCTCTCGTTTTAAAAAAATATGTTTTTAGTTTTTGCGGATGGTGCAATGTCCACGTTCCGATTTATCGTTTTGTTCGTTCAATGCTGAATATAATCACGTATGGCAAAGAAGCTCCAGCAATGTTACATGTCAGTGACGGCGGACATTTTGAAAACTATGGCCTGTTACCGCTGTTGAAGTTGCGACTACCGAAAATCCTTCTCGTTCATGGTTTGGAAATTAAATCGGATGACGACTACGCCAGGGATATCATAGTGGCAATGGAGCATGCGCGAAAGTTATTCAATTGCTCCTTTACTTCAATGGCTGGAAATGACATGTTGAATGACATAGAGGAAAAGTACGGAAGAGATGTGTTAGATCATATAAGAAAACATAATTGTGGAGACATTGTGTTGAATTATATAAACAACCAGTTGGGAAGCGATGTGTTGACAGATATAAAGAATGAGTTTGTCGAAAAACGTTCAAGGAAATACGAATTCAAAGTTCATTACTCAAAAGATAATTCAGAGGGTAGGTATATATTTCAACACATTAAACCCAAAGTGTTCAGCATACAGTAGTGCTCAGGCATTCAAATTATAACAATAGGATAATTTCTATAGAGGATTCTTCTTTGGGGGGGACACACTGTACATCATACATTCAAGTATGATCGTATGATGATGATACATGTGTATATACGTGTACATGTAGTTGTTATTTTTATGTAGATGACAATGGAGTTAGCGAAGGGCATATTGTCCTTATTGCTCCGCGCTCACCTGACGGGGTTGATGCGAGGTCCGAGGAAAATCCTACATGCTCAGACGCATTAGAGAGGTTTCACCATCAAGGCGAAGGCGGGCCTGGACGGGGTAATGCGAGCACGTCGGAGAGAAATCTCCAAAATTATCCCAAATGGCATGAAGATTGTGAAGAAAGAGATTTGGATAAAAAGTGGGGTCTGGGGCCGTATCTGACGGAAGGTGATGTGAAGAATATTGAAGGATGCCCCGGAGGTATTGGTTGTTGTGAGTGCTGTCATAAAAATTGGTGTGGCAGCTGTTTCAAATTTCCTTGTCACCCAACAGCAAACCAGTTTTATACTCCTTCAATGTTTACTGCTTATCACAGAGAAGGATACAGAGTGTGTATGGAATGCAACGAGTTTTTAGAAAAATAAACTATTGAATAACTAAATTTTTGTGTTTACCAGGGAGTGGGCATCCATCTCATATTAAAACTCCAGTAGAGAACCAATCGAATGCTTTTATTGCAAGTCTTGCAATAATCTGTAACAATTGTGTAATAATTTAGTTTTTGAAGATGTTTATAGTTAAGATATACGTAAATATGAGTAATTTTTATAAAATGCCATTGTGTACAATTTTATGCTGAGCTTTAACCCAATTGAGTGGCAGCACCCTCCCCGTCAACTTTCCCTCCCATATCCAGTGGCGGCGCCAGGGGGGGGGGCAAATGCTCCCCCAAATTTATTTTTTGCTCCCCCCATTTTGCCCCCCCTAAAAAAAAATTATTAGTCACTAAGAGCGACTAAAGGCTACACAAGCGTTTTGTAGTTATCGGAAAATGTATGGCTTATAAGTTGTCATTACTCATTAGTGAATGCGCGTATACATGAAACTGTTTTTTACATTTTCAATATTAGTTTGTAAATCTCTGAATGGTAAAACTTGCCAATACCCCAATAATACGTTTCAAAAAAAGACAAAAAAGCTTTAGTTTTGCAGAGTTAAATTCTCAAACGTGTAAGGCAATAATAAGATGAAAGTATCACGAAATTATTTGAATAAACCACATCGCATATATGGGGGGCGATATTCCTAGAATATTCGCCCCACCCTCCTGGGAGACGATATTCCTAGGATATTCGCCCCCGGGGGCGATATTCCTAGGAATATCGCCACGTTTTGAGGGGGGGGGCGGCGAATTTCCTGGGGGGCGACCTTTTTACAAATTCGATCTTGCCCCCCCAAAATTTGAGTTTGCCCCTCAAATGCCCCCCCAAATTTGGAAGCCTGGCGCCGCCACTGCTAGCAGAACGACTAACAAAGTTTTATCAAGAACTAAAACAAGACGACGGAAGAGAATACAGCCGTTCAGCTCATGTTGCTATAAGAGCTGGAATAAACCAATATTTAACTTCAGAAAGAGTAGGAAAAACTTGTCCAATCATAAGTGATCCCATTTTCAAGACAGCAAACAAATCCTTGAATGCGAAGCTAAAGAAAACCATGGAATGTGGTTCGTCCAAAGTGAAGCATCACTCGAGTATCCCGCCTGAGGACATACAAAAATGTTACGAGAGTGGTATTTTGGAGACGACTCCCCTCTATCGTTATTAAGAGTGAATTGGTTTAACATAAACCTATATTTCTGTCGAAGAGGCAGGGAAACCAAAGAAAATTGTCAAAGAACAGTTTCATTTTCAAGACAGATGCAAATAATGTTGAGTATGTTGAAATGGCCGAGCAAGAAAAAACAAAAAATCGTCCTGGCAGTCTTAGCGACAAGGCAGACGAGGCGGACCCTAAATTTTTTTCTACTGGTGAAACTCACTGTCCTGTTCAGTACCTTAAAAAGCTCATTCAAGTTCTTAACCCTGTGGAAGAGGCACTTTTCCAAAGGCCAAACAGAAATATTTCCGCTAGCGACGAAATCTGGTTTGATTGAGCTTCGCTTGGTGTCAACATCTTTGGAAATATGATGAAAGAAATATCAAGTGCAGCTAAACTAAGCCAAATTTATACAAATCATTGTATATGGCAACATCGGTCACTTTACTTGATAGAGCAGGAATTCCAGTCCTCCGTATCATGCAGGTCTCGGGGCACAGAAACGAGGGAAGCGTAAAATTATATGCTGAAAGACAAACTTTACAACAACAAAAGCAATGCTCTGAAATCTTAGGGAAGCAAATTCAAGTTAACTCAACTGATCCAAAAGTTTCACCCACATGACCATCGGAACAAACACATAACAACAACAAAAATGAAATAAGATATCAAAACTCATTTTCAAATACAACCTCACCTAAATTTGTTGACTTTGAAAAAGCAAGCTTTGAAAACTGTCATTTTACGTTTAATTATAACTTATCAAAAGAAAAGTGAGTGGCATGCAATTTGCAGGCACTGGCATGCAATTTGCAGGCTTCTCGGTGAGTTTTTATATTAATTATATAAACTTTTGCATCCAAGCAGTGAACTCAGATTATATATTAAATGGGTTAGAGACTGTAAAGTTCGTGTTTTGTTTACAAATATACGCACTTGCTGATCGTACAATGGACTCGAAATTTTCAATACTGCGCTCGGCTTCGCCTCGTGCAGAATTTCTCGTTCATTGTACGATCAGCGCGTGCGTATATTTGTAAACAAAACACTCACAGCAGTCTCTAATTGTCTCTAACCCTTAATTAATTGATAATTAGCATGCGTTTAAAATAACAACACAAAAATGTTAAAATTCCAGATCAAGAATCAAGATTTCCTTCGGGGCATACAAAAGTTTGAAAGACTAGAAATATAGTCTTTTTAGTCTAATTTTGTGCTGTATCGAAGTTTAAGAAATTCAAGATAAAATTCTAGTGTTTAGACACTCAGCGAACAATGCTGACAAATATATAAAATACAACAAACTATCGGACGGAAATTGAAAAATTTATAACTGACAATTTATAATTGACAATTTAATAAATTAACAAACTGTTTATATGTCCCGATCCCTCGCGATAAAGCATTTTCTTTACATGTAATGTGTTTAACTTCGTCTTACTTGGCCAGTTAACTTTTCGAATTCAAATAAAAATTCAAATTGTTGGCTACAAAATCCAAATTCAAATTTTTGGTTAATTTAACGCTCTTCATGGCACAGCACTTAATCTCTTGAGTTTTAGTCCTTTTATTAAAGTACGTACTGACAGCCACACACTATAGTTGGCTGAACGTTTCCAGAGTTTATATTTCTGTATGCAGTCTTGCATATGTGTCAATGTCATGTAGAATGCAAACTTCTTTTTCGAGTTAAGTACTGTTTTATTAGGCCGTGGGCTGTTGTGCGAAAAAGTGCCTAGAAAAGCAATTTCGTGGCACCCCCCTGGGAAATAGATTTTCTGTGGTTCAATTCATAGAACCATAGATGCTTGATTACCACAAAAAGTTCCCAAGCAAAAACTTGCCCAACACCGAGAAAATGGTTGATCCGTGATTATCCTCTATTAAATTGCATTAAGCAAGAAAATGTGACATTTTGTATTCAATTACGACAAAAATGACTTGCATCATCAGAAAGCTTACAAAAACCTACATATAAGACATTTAAACAGTTTATTATTTCTAAAATTGTTTTCGAGTTATACACTGTCAAAAACGCGTTCTTGACCTAGTACCCAGTCCTTATTGCGACATTTTGGTCCAATTTTCACATTTAAAAAAGCAATAACTCAAAGACTATTTGGAAAATAAAAAAAAACTGTGTAAAAGTCTTATATGTGGTTTTTTGTACGTTTTCCGATGATGCAACTAATTTTTATTAATTATAATTGAATTATAAAATTTCCCATTTTTTGCTGTAATACAATTTAATAGAGGATAATCATTCATTACCCATTTTCTCGGTATTGGGCAACTTTTTGCTTGGGAACTTTTCTTTGGTAGTGATGTACCTATATGCCTTTCAAATAAACCCCAAACCAAGTATTTTCCACATGGGTGCCACGAAGCGAAATAATATTGGCTAACAGGCAACGGTCTATAATGTCTACAACACAAGCGGCCGCGTTGTATTGAAAATATAAGCACGAGCCGAAGGCGAGTGACTATATATTTAATAAAACCTGGCCGCTCGTGTTCTCAACATTACTTGTTGTACATTCGTTACTTGTTTTTCATTTCTTATTTTGCGACCAACCAGGGGGGGGGGCATGCATGTCCGCAAACGCTGATAACTTACTTGGTCTTCCAATCGTTCCATAGAATATTTGAACCACTTCATTTAGCAGCGTTTACAGTATCCCACTTAAATCATATTTTCGGGTTATTATTGTATCTGCGCGTGCTAGATATTAAGTTATCGAGTTATGGGTGTTTGCGTGCGTGCGTTAAACAATGATGTCGACTAATTAAGGCTAATAGGTTTTGTTTGTCAAAACACCACGTAAATTTATTACTGCAAAGCTTTCGATCCGTAAGCCCGGATCTTCATCAGTGCTAATAATAATAATAATAATAATAATAATAATAGTAATAATAATAATAATAATAATAATTATGCTAATAATAATAATATGCTCATATTATTAGCACTGATGAAGATCCGGGCTTACGGATCGAAAGCTTTGCAGTAATAAATTTACGTGGTGTTTCCACAAACAAAACCTATTATATTTTATCACCATGCAAACATACAAAGAACTAATTAAGGCTAGTACGGCTGCGAACAGTCCGTAAAACAAAGATGGCGGCTTTCTATAGGGTGAAGAGAAACTGTTTGTTTGACTCGATGATTGACTTTGACGGAAGGTCGTAATGTAACGAGACTCAGGAGCTAAGAGAATTTGGTGGTATCCGTGGCGAAGATCAAGTTTTGAGAAGAGTTTTGAGCCATTTAGCTTGTGGATAAGTTCGTCAGCAGTAGGCATGGGATGGCGCCCACGGATTATCGCTGTATTGGTCGTACGCATGTCAACAC